TCCCTCCACCCTGGATTCCCCTGTAGCTATTGTCACTTCTCTTTTTATCCTCAAAGAATTATCTGCTCTCATCTCTGCACTCTCTCTGCCATGAAGTGAATGACTTCCAAACTGTTAACCCCCAAGGTTGTTCCCCCTCACATCTTCCTGCTGTGTAAGACAAAGCTGGAGGTTCCTCTTTGAAATGAGCTCCTCCCCTGGCCTCCCTGGGGCTCTGTCTCCTCCTACCTCTCACTGCCTCTCTTGCCGCCCTTTTCTCTCTTTCCTCCCTAATGGATGTTCACCAGAGTTCTACCTTCTACCTTCCTTGCGCTTGTACACACTTCCCTCCATAACTTAGTCCGCTTTAGCGATTTCTGTTACCCTTCATTGCTGAGTCCCAAATCCAGAATCTCTTTGGAGCTCCATGTTTGTATATCTGGGTGCCTGCTGGACTTCTCCACCTAGATATCCCAAAGGGACCTCAAACAGCAGATTCATTATTTTCCACAACTGCTGTTCCTTTGCGTTTGCAGTAAGTATCAGAAGGGAGAACGGATATATGATGAGGAAGTGTGCGGACGAAGATATCTTGGAAACCTCTGCAGGAGCCAGAGGAAAGCCCACCTGGAGAGAACTGTGGAGACGTGGGCTGCAGGACCCTGCACTGCTGGCTGTTGCATGTAAATGTAAGTCCCTTAGTAAAGCTAGGGAGCACAACAGCTGCCTCTTCAAGCGCTCCCCAAGCCCCCAGTCTGTATGGTTTGGATTTTGTGACTGGAAGCCTTGAGTAAAGAAATACTTGAACCTTTGTGGAATTTTCTGTGGAGGCACAGGGCAGAGGGTGGGAAGTAGACCCCACTCCAGTCTCTCAGTACAGTCTAGCCTGTGGACTGGTGTATTGGAGGTGAAAGAGCTGCAAAGAGAGCTACTGCTGAAGGTTATCCATCCAAACACACGCAGACCAAGGCCCCTGATTATTTTATCCCTCCGCAGGGAAGGCTCCCCCCACTCGTACACAGACCCAGGTCAGGGACAAGAAGGCTCGGTGCCCCGTTAAATAACTTGCTGCCCTTGCCTACCAGAGAATCAGTCTTGAATTACCTCAAGCCTCTACCTATCCCAGTGTATGGGAATGAACTGTTTGCTTGGCTGTCTTCTCCCTCAAGGAAAGAGGATTTGCCTCCTCCATCTTTACCACTGGACCCTTTTGGGAAGGGACTCCCAAAAAACGTAAATTGAAGAAAAGGAAGAGACTGTTAGGCAGGCAATTCACATGATAGTTGCCATGCCTTGAAACTGAAGTGACACGTGACAAACCACTTCTTCCACTGTCTCAAAGAGGCCCCAGCCAGACCATCTGGGTTCAAATCCCAGCTGTACCACTCACAAAACTTTGCAGAAGTTACTTAAATTTTCTGTGCCTCAGTTTGCTCAACTATAAGAAGGAAATAACAGTATCTACCACATAGGATCATTAAAAGGCACATAAAGGGCTCGACACAGTGCCTAGGACGTGGAAAGCACTGGATAAATGTTGTCTGCTGCTGTTATAATTATTACCTGTCCCTCACTAGGCACGGCAAGAAGTCTTCTCATTAAAGAAAATAGAAATAGTGATTGTAGCAAAGGAGCCTAAAATACTGAAACAAACTTTTGTGATTCTTTTGTCTGCCTAGCTCAAAATGCCCTTCCTGGGCCTAGGTGGGAGGTAGAGATGGCCTCTCAGTAACAAGCTAAAAAAACCAGACACAGGCTGAATGTTCAGGACTCCCTTGCAGCCAGAGTTTGTAGCTATGATCCAGGCTTGACCAACCAGACACACCCAACCCAGGCCTAGCAACAGGAGCTAGTGAGGCCACACAGCAGGGATGGGGGCACTGCGTCACAGTCATGCTCACTTTTTCCAGAGGCAAGCCGCAGTGGCAGTCCCAGCAGTAGTATTGATGTGGGTTCGGTGAGCCAAGGAGTCGAAAGAAAGATTTCTTGGACTGTCAAGTTCTGGTAGTCCTGCTCTTTTATTCCGAGAATAGCATGGGAACAGGACCCATGGGTGGTGAAGAGCTGCAATGGGTTGAGGGTAAAGCTAAATTTACAAGGTATAGGTATGTGAGCTATTTCTTTACTAGATACAGGAAAGATCATGTAAAAAAGTCGTTAAAATGGTATCAGTGCTGGTGGGGTCTGGTTGTTGAGTGGTCGTATAACTTTGGATATGAATAGGTTAAATCAGGTCAGGATGTCCTATGCTTCCCAGAGGATGATATAGATCGGTATGTAGGCCAGGACGCCTTGGGCTTCTTTCATTCCCTGGGGCAGCCTTGATACACATTAGTATGAAGGGCCACTGCTGGCTGTGCAAGATCAGTGGCATCCTCATGGGCTGTGCTGGTAGCATGAGTGTGGCTGGGTCCTTGTCTGCTATGAAGGCCCCCTTGTTCCTGCCTGTTCTCCAAGCCCGTACCTCTATCCTCTCCAGAAATGCTTTAAATCACCCAAGGTCCTTTTCTGCTTCTATCAGCCTGGGTTAGTTTTTCTTGGCACTTTTCAACCTGTCAGACTGATACAGATTATCAGATCAGAAGGATTAATAAAATGTAAGTAGACTATTTCTACTTTGTTTTATTGGTCTGTTGATTTGCAGTATGTCTTCTACTCGGCTCCTGTCCAGAGATTGTTTTTCTTGGATGATTTTTGTTTTAGCAATGCTGAGATGTTAAAGAGGATTTTTGTTGTTATTGTTGTTTGGAAATCAGACTTCCTCTTCTCCTTCTCTCTTCTTCCCCTTTTTTTGGTGTGGGTACTGTGGGTCAGGACAATCAAATGTTAATTGACTGGAATCTGCCCATAGGTAAAGAAAATCGGGCAACCAATTGAGTGTAAGAGTAAAGGAAAATGGAGGGAGAGGAGCAAAATCAGCGCCATGCACAGGAGAGAATCACAATAGAACCATGAGCTTATTTAATTTAACTGGTTTATTTTATAGATAAGGAGCTTGTAACAAAGAACACACAGCTAACGTGTGCTCAAGACACAACTAACTGTATCTTCACACTCCTCATTCAAGGTTCCTGCCTCTATGCATTATGCCAAGAGGCAAATGATCAGAAAGCAAGCTAAGATTAGGTTAAATTCAGCTCAATTAATTATACATTTTAGGTTTATGGTCATGTACGTTGAGAACTTACATTGTCAAAAACATTTTACAATTCACAAAACACTTGGTTCTTTAAATACTCTGAGATAAGATAATCAGCGCTTTTTAAAAAGAGGTGTTGGTATTCATGTCTTGATAAATTTTTTTGACATCTCTCCTACCTCTGAATTCTGTCTCCCTTTTCTATTTGTTTTAGTTTTGAAATTGTAGCTACAAAATGAATCAGGAAGAAAGTAATATTAATGTACTTGAATGAAAGGGTGTGTTTATGGAAACCATCATAAAAATATTTTGGATGCTGTTATTAACATCCATTTTACAAATGAGGAAACAGAAGCTAAGAGAGATTGAGTGACTTGGCCAAGATTAAATAACCACTAAATGGCAGAGTCATGACATGGTTCAATTGAAAAAACATATATATTGAGCATTTAATGTGTCAGGCTTGGTAAACAATATATGGTGCTAGTTAACCTCTAGATAACCAGAAATTTCTATAACCAGTATATTACATTCTAAACCAGTATCACTGAAGTTTTTACTGTACCATGCACTGTAATTTTAGCAGCTGGCTAATCAGTAAATAGTTTTCTACATACACAAGATTCACATAGCCAGATCTCTTTGGAGACCGATCTTGAAATATATTAGACTAAAAGGTTTAACTCAAAATCATGTTTTGCATCATTTGTCTAGATTCTCTAAAGTAAAATGGAAAGTTGTGATTCTCAAATGTCCCCAAATGAACAAAACATCGACAAGAATATGAAGTTGACTGTATCACTGTATAATCAACTATTAAAACCTAAATGTAACGAGCTATTTTCATTTCCAGTCTAATGGCATACAAAGAGGAAATTTTATTCTCTGTATTGTTTCTCCAAATTCTTTGTATAGATTATGAAAGTCATTTGCGAAAGGAAACTCAGCTAACTGAGTTGGAACATAAAGTGAATGATATATATATATACGTTTATATATATATTTTTTATGTAGTTGTGTATAACGGAAAATGTCATACTTCTATATAAAGCTAAAACAGACCATTAGTACAAGACCTAAACATTGATGAGATAGAATTTTCAATCAAATTTCATTCCTGCTTTTCCCTCAGAAAGTTAAAAGCGGGCAGAGCTTTTAAGTGAAAACTATATAATGGTGTCAGCATCATAATGCAAACATGCAAAGAATGCAAAGATGCAGAAGAAATGATAAGATGTGGGCGGGCCCTCTCACAGTAACGTCATAAACAACAAAAACTTTCCAACAGACTTCAGGTGGCTGTCAAGGCTTTTAGACCTCTGACTGATAAAGGCAGTTTCGTCAAAGGAGAGTTTCCTTTTTCACCTAAGCATCAGGAGACAGCACCACGGCGCCAGCTCAGAGCCACAACTGGGCCGTTTCACCCAGCGGACGGCGCCCTGGCTCTCCTGGCCACGCCCGCTCCTGTCGCTCGCGGCGAGGTCCCGCCCCTTCCGCTCCCACTTCCTCTACCCGCGCGCCTTTGCGTCGCCTTCTCAGGACCTGATTGGCTGAGGCGGCAACCGCTAACGGCTGAGGAGTTTAAACCCAAGCCTGGGCCGCGGGCGCCGAGCTCCGGGAGCAGGTGCTGGTCTCCGCCACGCTGAAAAAGCAGTAAGTCGGTGACCTGTCACGTTGGGCGTGGCCGCCCTCTGTCTGGCGGGATGCGGGCCTCTCCCGGGCCGAACCTCCGGGCGCTGCCGCCCCAGGTCTCCGGTCCGCCGAGCCCCGCCGGCCCGCGGCCCCGCCCACTCTCCGCCTGCGGTGTCCGGGTCCGCGGCTGAGGGCTCGCCGGGGCAGTCCCTGGTTCGGGTCTAAGTCGCTGCTTTTTGTTGCTGAGATTTGAGCGCCCAGCTGGGGACTGGGGGAGGGGGCGAGCCGCCAGTTAGAAGGTCAGCTCCTTGAAGGAAGGGAGCTCTGTCTTGTGACTGCTCTGCTTCATGCTTTTACCCGCGATATCTAGCTCCTTGTGAGCGCTCAGTAAGTACCTGCGGAATGAACCTTAGAGACTGCCTTCCCACGTTCTTGAGGGAGCCCTCGCCTTTGGAGCGCTCATCCAGAAGGGAGGCTGGCTGAAGGCGAAGGGGTGATGGAAGCCTGGGAAGAACTTAGAACTTGAACTGGGTCTTGATGTACAAGTAGGGTTTCGTTAGGGAATAGGGACGATGCTTTTTCTAGATGAGGGATGCAATTCGGGAGAGTTGGATGTGGAACTATTTCTGATTTAGAGATAGCCGAGATGCTGGCCGGACAAGAGCTACGGAATACCAATAAATAGGCCTTATTAGTGTTGACTATGTGCCAGGGCCTGTACCAGGCACTATACATACATTGGCTCATTTAGTCCCTACTACGCGATGCCCTTATTTTCTATCATTTTTTAAGTCTGGAAATTGAGACTTAGAGATGTTACGATCACATAGCTGTGAAATGTTGGAACTGGGACTCCTATACAGTCCCAACCACTGTTTATAATACCTCAATCTCTATATGGCAAGTCACACTGGAATGGTACTCCAGGGGCCTGGCTTTGGCTCATAAAGCCTTACTTGGTGAGGTTGTTAATGTGCAGGGTAACCGGGCAGTGTTAAGGAAGACTTTCTGACTTCTAACTTGAAGATTTGGGGGGTGATTGTTGGTGTCATTTATTAAGTAAGGGAACTAAGAACCAACATATTGGGGAGGGCAGTTCAGCTGGGATTTCCTAATTAGTGAAATGAGATTTGATCTTCCTGACAAGATTTTTTGGGAGATGGACTAGATTTCTATGGATCTTTTTCAGGTGTGTGAGATGCAACAGGTTGCATGGAGTTTCTGTGTGTGCCTGTGTTCTGTTATCTATAGAATAGATGGAGATCAAAGTTTCTTTTTGGCAAAGCTTTTAGAAGAAGCATTGAACCTTAATACTGGAAGGTTCCTAGTTCAACTTCTTCCCCATTGCAGAAATTTCTTCTAAAACCATCCTTCTGTTATTTGCTTGACATCTCACAACATTTGTTCAACACTTGAAAAGGAGGTTCATTCCAGTATTGGGCAGTTTTTACTACTTGAAATTTCTTTCACTTATCCTTAGGCATTTCTTCAACACATGTTTATTCAGTAGCTGCTATGTGCCAGGCACTCTTCTGGGCACTGAGGGTACAGCTGGAAACAAACTTGACAAAAATCCGTGCCCTCACAGAACTTAAATTTTAGTAGGAGAAGAAAGACAATAAATTAAATAAGGAAATTATGCAATTTTATGTTAGACATTGATAAGTCAATGTCAAAAAATAAAATAGCAAGTGAAATGATGTCAGGTGTGCAATTTTAAATAGTTTGGTCTGGGAAGGCCCACTAGGAAAGTGGCATTTGAGCAAAGACTTGAAGGCAGTGAGCAAAGCCAGTGGTTATTTGAAGGAAGAGTTGGTACAAAAGAAAAAAAGGAATACAGAGGTTCTGCAGTGGGAGCATCCCGAGGTGGAAAGGGTGGCTGGAGCTTAGTGAGGAGAAGGAAGAGTAGTGAAGAGGTCAGAGAGGTACTGATAAGAACTGGGGAAGGAGAGAGTGTCAAATTGTGTAGTACCTTCTAGGCCGTTGTAAGGATTATGACTCTACTCTTGAGTGAGCTGGAAAACCACTGGAGGGTTTTTAACAGAGGAGTGACATGAATTTACTTAAGTTTTAAAAGGATCATTTTGGTTATTGGGTTGAGAATAGATACTAGGGGAGAAGATGGGAGCAGGGACACCATTTAGGTTGCTGTAGCAAATGACATACATGAGAGAGAATGGCACCTGGATCAGAGTGGTAGTGGTATAAATAGTGGTAAGTGATCCATATGGCTGTGTGGTGAAAGCTGGGCCAGCATGACTGATGATAGAGTGGATATGGGATGTGAGAGAAAGAGGCTTCTAACCTAAGCACTTGGAAGGATAGAGTTGCCATTAAGTGAGCTAAAGGGAGAATGTTTGGGTCGGGGGAGTTTAGAACCTGCTAAAATTGAGATGCATCTTAGAGGTCCAAGTTGGAGATGAGGAGTAGGCAATTGGATGAGTAAGTCTGGAGTTGATTGGGAGTATAAATTTACAAGTCATCAGCATTTATGTTTAAAAGCCAGGACACTGGATGATAGCCCCCAAGGGAGTATATGTAGATGGAAAAGAGATGAGGCTAAAGGTCTGAGAACTGGGGCACTCTAATGTAAGAGGTTAGAGAGCTGAAGAATAAGCAACAAAAGAGATTTCGAAGAAATGGTCAATGAGGCAGGACAGTAGGGTGTTTTGGGAGCCAACTGAAGATAGTATTTCAGAGAGAGAATGATCTGATATTAAATACTACTCAGAGATGAAATAAAACGAGAACTGGGCCTTGACTGCTGTATTTGATTTAGCAACATGGCAATTTGGTGACCTTAATGGTCAATTTCCATACAGTAGTGGTAAGAGCAAAAACTTGTTTGACTTTGCAAATGCTTATGTACAGACAAAATATATTATTTAAGTCATGATTGTTACTTTGTAGAATATATTTATCAGTTCTTTTTTCTTTTATTAATCAATACTATGGTTTCTTTCTTTCTTTTTTTTTTCCCACTTCAGTGATGGAGTACCCAGTGTTGGAAACTGGCTCACTTTTTACCTCAGGAGTCAAGAGACATGTGAAAGAAAAAAGAATTTCAAAGCCTGCTAAGTTGAATGTTTCTCTTGCTTCCAAAATCAAAACAAAAATAATAAGTAAGTGCTGTCAATTTTAAAGTATACTCACATTTTTAATTTCCCCTGGAGAATTAATATAGTATTTGGTACTTTATCAAGTATAGAATATGACTAAAATGACTGTTTTGTTAAATGAGGCATTTTTTCCCCATTCAATCCTTCATATCCACTTCAACTCCTATCAATTGGGTGGTTATGATGATTTACTATCAGTCGTGACAGCTGAATTTTTTTTTTATTGAGTTCATAATAGTTAACATCAATGTGAGATTTCAGTTGCACATTGTTTCTTGACTGTCACCACATAAGTGCTCCCCTTCACCCCCTGTGGCCCCCTGACCTCCTGTGACCCCCCACCCCCTTCCCCTGGTGACAGCTGCGTTTTCAGGAGTGAGGCTGGGGCCACCTCCTCCTACACTGCAAAGAAAACACCAATGTGACATTTCTGGAGAAAGAGCTCAAAGAAATGACAGGTGGTTCTTCTGGCATGCTGTAGCAATTGGATGATGGGTAAGAGAGCTGGTTGGCCCAGATAGGGTGCTGTAGTGGGTGATTTTATATGGCCAAAGCTCATCATGAGGGCACTGAGCACTTTGGAGATGGGATTTCATGGATTCTGGAACGAGGATGTCAGAAGGGCAAAAAAAGGAGGTGGGAAAAACTCCCCAAGATAAATTTTCATTGCTTCTAAAAATTATCTCAAAGGTCCATCTCCACCTTAGCAGGAGCCAGAGAAGTTTCCTGCTGATATAGCACCTGTGAAGGGTAATTGTGTGTGCCTTGTGACATAGCCGAGCCTCCTGAGTATCTTTAAATCATAATGTTGCTCCTACCCGGGCCTCGAGGGCCATACTAGGCCACCTCCTGTAGCAGCTGCTATTTCCTGTTCTCTTTGGCAGGACAACTGCACACCCACTGTTATGAAGGAATATACTGAGTTTGAGGAACGCAACAGGTAGTCCTAAACTGGTTCAAGTCTTTCCATTTCCCGTGTCACAGGTGGCTATCTAAAACTACTTTCTCTGTGCCAAAGATAAAGTGGTTTTTTTGGACCCTGTTTTTTAGATACCCAAACTTTCCATGAGTATTTAAAAAATATTATTACTTTTATAAACATATTTTACATACACTGTACTTTTATTCAGTGGAATATGGATTGAATAGTGGCATGTAAATCAAAATTAAGGAAATATAATTACACTAAGTGTACTGAGGGAACACACTATATTTAAGGTGAGTTTCACCAAGGAATTCACAATAAAATTTCTTTGCTAACAACAGAAAAGCATTTCTGATTGAAATTATCTTTACATAGTGCTTGTAAGGAGAAGAGGTCAAATTTAGATTGCAGTAGATGCCTAAACGTAAAAGTAGGGTATTTGGAGTGAAGGTTGAAGATCCTGCAGGATTTAGCTGAGCTGTCCAATATCGTAGTAAGTATGCTCCCTTTCACTCAAGGTTTTGAAAAATGGACTTTGGGAGCATTAACTAATTTGTTCAATCCTGGAGCCACAGACACTGGTTTTAAAATTTCTACAGATTGGCTGCCCTATTCCTATGGGAGGTCTCAGTTAGAGCTGCAGGACCCGCTTCTCCATTCTACCTCCTGGTCAAAGGTGCGGAGGAAGGTAGGGCAACGCATCAAGATTTAGTCTTTGTGACTGATCTAATTACCCAGAATACCGTGTCTCTGCTGGAGTCCTCTTATTCCCAGCTCTGTAGTCACAGACATTCTGCGTTCCTCACAACTCTTGTTTTTAATCTTCTATCTAGCTTTTATTTCTTCAGCTCCAAACTCTGGGTACATTTTGTTCAAAACTACATCCATATTGTCATTCTCTTCTTTTCCAACCTTTAGTTAAAAATTGTAAAGGGAAATACATTTTGCCTAAAATAATTTTATTAAGGAATCTGAAATTTTATTAAGGTGTAAGTTCAATATTAACTCTCTTAAAATCTTTTTACAGACAATTCTTCTATTTTCAAAATTTCTTTAAAGCACAACAACAGGGCGTTAGCTCAGGCTCTTAGTAGAGAGAAAGAGAATTCTCGAAGAATTACAACTGAAAAGATGCTATTGCAAAAAGAAGTGGAGAAACTGAATTTTGAGAACACATTCCTTCGCCTAAAGCTAAATAATTTGGTATGGAAACTGTATTGTGTTTGAATTCTAAATTATAACTAAAATCTTAACTATATTATTATAGAAGCTCTAAAAATGTATTTAAAATCTCTCATTGTTGTAAAAAATTGTTGGAAGAGTGTGCCATGTTAATGGACAGACTGTTACTGGGTAATAAAATTGGTGTCTTAAGTCTGCATTCTAGATACGTACTTGTGGCTCCACAAACCAGCATAATACCTTGATCAACATTTGATTGGTTATCATAAGCAAAGCTTGGTGCATTAGTACGTTTTAAGGAGGTGGGCATAGTTCTTCCAGTAGGTTGAAAGGAGGGAGTTCCTAGAGTGTATTCTCCTTTATCCCAGCATTTCACTGGCTATAGCCAAATAGAATGAAGATTGTAGTCATTCCTTTTCCTTCCAACTTGCATCTCTCTCCACAGACAGGGCAGTAACAGCCAATGATTGGCTAGGCTGCAACTATAGATCTAATTCTCAAATGAGTGAAAATGAATTTAAAATGGAAAAATGATCTACTAGAGGGTTTAAATTCCTGGAGCTGACAAACTGTGTTCACTTGCTGTATGATGTGTTATTATGAGAAGATAGAAAAATGCTTGTAGGAGAATTTATGATTGATCGTTCAGAAGCATTCAAAATGTGTGTGTGTGTATGTGTACGTGTCTTGTGGCTGTTTGGACTATACAGTGTAGTACCTTCTTAGCTCAATGTGGTCTTAATTTTTAGTTCAATGTGATCTCTATTATTTTCTAAGTCTTCTCAGCTGATGATATTCATAAAGGTATGGTATAATAAACTCCGTATCTTAATTGATTAAAAGGAATCTTTCTGTATTTTATATATGCAGAATAAGAAGCTTATAGAAATAGAAGCACTCATGAACAATAACTTGATAACCGCAATTGAAATGAGCACGCTTTCTGAGGTAAGTAAAATTTGTATGTAAGTGGTATAATTTTTTAACATTAGTGAGGATATTTGAGATTAAATAGCATCAAAGTTAAAGATTCATATCTTAAACTTTGTGCAAAGGAAAGACAATAATATCAGTTTCAACTGGCGAACAGCACATTATCATTTAGTATTGTCCATTATTGAAATTATTATATAAAAATTAGATTTTGATTAAAAGTAACGTTTGCTCAGTGGAATGTAATGACCCCTAAACAGACTAGAAAACATAAAAGATATTAGTAGAAAGGTAGTATGTCAAATTAAGAAAGCATTTGCTTTATTAAAAAAAAGATAGAAAACTATTTGGGGAAAAACAGAGTCAGAACCTACTTTATACCACTCTCTAAAATAAATGTAAAAAGGGAAATTGTATACAATGAGGAGAAAATGTAAATGAAAAGGTAGGAGAGGCCTTTCTGTACCTAGAAACAAAGATAGAAACCATAAAGGAAGCTCTTGGTGGATTTTCTCAGAAAAAAATTTTTTAGAAGGCTAAAAATCATAAAAATAAAAGGTAAATGACGGACTAGGAAAATTAAACATATGAGCAGAAAGAAAGAAGGACCAAGTGTTAATGAATTTAACTCAAGCATCTAAAGAGGAAAATTAATTGTTGTGAAGGAATGGCTAATGAGAAGGCAAAATATACATAATAGGTAAACTGAAGAAAGAAAGTGAAGTCGCAGTTTTACATCCATTTCTTGATAGATTCTGGAGACAGTTTAGTGCTCCAGAGGGTGGCTTTGGAATGGGATTGCCTGTGTTTAGATCCCAGCTCTGCTACTTCCTGCTTCTATGACTTTGACCTTGAACTCTGAAGCTTAGTGTCCTTGTCTGCGTGGTGTGGATAATGGTAGCCTATCTACAAAGAGTTATTGTAAGAGTTAAATGTGGCTAGCGTGTGTCCTGAAAGTAGGAAGAGTGTGATAAATGCTAGCTATCATAGCTTTTATTGTATGTGTATTTTCCTGTGTTTTCTAAATTCTCTGCAAACCTCTGCTTTTAAAAACTTTTTAAGGTCATTTATAAGGCTCTTAAGTGCAGTCTTTGTGGTAAGAAGATATGAACTCTTTCAACCTATGTGGTCAATGTTTAGCTCCTTTGTCATAATTTTTATAAAAGCTAGCCAAAGAAGAGGTACTTTATGGTCTAACTTAATTGACATTTGGATGAAGAGAGGATTTGTGTAAATGTCCCTGTGGAATAGTGTTCAGGGGGTGTAGCTACTAGCATTATAATGTGAGACCTAGGATAACCGGTGAGCAGAGCCTTGTGCGTTTGGCACCCTCTAAGGAGAAGAGATGCTTTTCACTGGAGGGGTGGGTGGGGGGAGTCCGGGAGGGCCTCTGTTTTGCCGATCATCTCACAGGGCAGAATTGAATTGCCCTGAGTAAATTAGTAAGACCAGAATCAGATATAGCAGTGGGGAGTGTAGAGTCCGTATAGGAATTGACTTGGAGAGTAAGAGGGAAAAGCTCATTGGCAAGATGTGGGAGGAGGGTCAGATCACTGATAGCTCGAGGAACTTTGGAGAACAGTCAGCCCTAAAAAAATTGCTCAACGGTCTGTCATGAGTTAGGTGATGTGAAGTTCCTTCCCTCTGTTGGTTCTTTAAAAAAATCTTTAGTAAATCAACATTGTTCCCAGATGTATTTTGTGTGGCTCTCTTTGGAGAACTCAAAGAGAGCTGAGATCAGCATCTGGATTTAGGAAAAGTGAAAAACAGCGGATGCGAAGGTGGAGGATGAAGGCACATCATACAACTTTGGTGTCCACTTTCTTGGACTTATTATTTAACAGACTATCTTTTGCATATCAAGTTTCACAATTGCTTCTCTTTTTACTTGAGCGGGGAGGGTGGTGGATAATATGGACATGTAGTTCTAATACCAAAACAGTATAAAGACGTGTAGAATGACGTCTCACATAATTCTGTTCTGCCTCCAGCTACTTTCTTCTCTATTCTCCTCTCTTCTCCCCGCGCCTCATGCAGGTTACTACTTTTAATTATTTCTTTATATAAAAACAAACAAACGTGTAAATGTTTTCTTAATTTTCTTTGTTACACGAAAGATAACATGCTATACCAACTGCTCTGTGGCTTACTTTTTTTATGTGACATATCTTGAAGGAAGAGCTCTCCGTAGGATTACAGGGAATGCTTCCTCATTCTTTCTTAGTGCTGCTGAGGATGGATCTAGAGTGGACTTGTAGCTCATTTAACTAGGCTCCTGTTGTTGGACACTTGGGTTGTCTTTTGCTGTTGGCTTGATGTTGATGTAGACTGCCTTTTCCTCTAGTGTTATTAATTTTTTTCCTCCCTTCTGGATTATTCCCATCAGGATGCAAAAATGTTATCTCCCGTCTTAAAAAGAAAGAAAGAAAGAAAGAGAACAAAACTAAAACCTCTTACTCCACTTACACCCCTTGCCCCCAGCTATACTATCTCATTTTTCATCTTAGCTTTACAGTGCAATTCTTTTTTTTTTTTAAAGATTTTATTTTTTTCCTTTTTCTCCCCAAACCCCCCCAGCACATAGTTGTATATTCTTCGTTGTGGGTCCTTCTAGTTGTGGCATGTGGGACGCTGCCTCAGCGTGGTTCGATAAGCAGTAGCCATGTCCGCGCCCAGGATTTGAAACAGCGAAACACGGGGCCACCTGCAGCGGAGCGTGTGAACTTAACCACTTGGCCACGGGGCCAGCCCCTAAAGCGCAATTCTTTGAGAGAACTGTTCAGTGTCTGCAGTTTCTCTTGAAATTGCACCAATTGGGTTTTTACCACCACTCTGTTAAAACCACTTTTCTGAAAATTGATCTCCGACGTTACCAGAACCTCTGGATATTTCTTGGTCCTTATGTTATCGCCACATGACTTTTAGGATACTACACTCTCCTGAGTTTCTTCGTACCTTTCTGACTGTTCCTTTTTGGTCTGTTTGCTGGTTCCTCTTTATTTTCCTGACTGCTAAATTTTGGGTACCCCAGGACTCAGTTCTTGGACCTCTCTCTTCTATCTACCCTAGTTCCCTAAATGATTTCATCCAGTCTTCTGGTTTTAATTGCTATTAAATACTGATGACTCCCCAGTTTGCATCTCCAGCCTGGCCATCTCTGAACTCCAGACAGTACATAGCCAGCTACCTACTTGGCATTGCTATTTGGATGTCTAAGTGGCATCTTAAATTTCACATTTGCCACCAAACCAATTCCTTTTGGGGTCTTCACCTCAGGTAATTACACTTCTATTTTGCTATCTTTTCCTCACACCCCATATCTGATCCTTTAGCAGATTCTTTTAGTGCTGCCTTAAAAATCAGTCTGGAATTCTATCACTTCTCACAGCCCTCGCTTTCACCACTCATCTGAGTCACCATGATCTCTTCCCTGAATTATCGTAGTAGCATGCCAGCTGGGGCTTCTTGCTTCTGCCCTTGCCCCTCTCTGTTCTCTTCTCAGCATAGCAGCCAGAGTGATCCTGTTAAAATGTAGTTTCTGCTTAAAGCCCTCCAGTGGCTTCCCATCTCGTCCACTGCCCAGTATTGTCTGAAAACCGAAACTCTTGTTCTTTCTCTGCCCTCATCTACTACTCGCCTTCCTGCTCTTTAACATCTTCTGTACGCAGGCTTCCCCCTGCTCCGTCTAACACAGGCAAGCTGCCCTCCCAGGGCCTTGGACTTGTTCTTCCTTCACATGGCCAGTTCCCTGGCTTGCTTCAGAGCATCATTCAGAAGTCACTTTGGTGAAGCCTTCCCTGGCAACCCTGCATAAATCTGACTCCTTCCCCACCCCTGTCCCAGTGTTTCATGTTCTGCTTCCCTGCTTTAATTTTTCTCCTTAGCACTTAACACTATATAACATATAATTTTACTTATTATGTGTTTGTCCCCCCAGAATATAAGCTTCTTGAGTACAGGATTTTTGTCTGTACCACAACACTGTCTAGAACATGGTAGAATGCAATAAATACTCTTAAAATGTTGTATAGTGTTTCCCCATTAAGAACGATGCTTGTGTGTATGTGCTTTTTTAAGGATGAGGTCCATATTTATCCTGTAATACTTGTGTTATTGAGCTTTTAAAATAAAAAATAGTGATAAATAATGTAAAAATACCTTTTTAGCACTTACGGTGATGATCATGTGGTCTCTCTTTTTAGGAGTATTAACATGACTTATTTTAGTAGCTTTGCTAATTTTGCATTTCTAAAATAAATGTCAGAAATGACCTATTATTCTTTTGATGTGCTACTGAATTCTTTTGGCTAGTATTTCATTCGGGAATTTTTTACTGTTATTCATAAGTGAGGTTTCTTTGAGGTTTTCTTTTTGTATAGTCTTTAGGCATTGATAAAAATGTTGTATATATATTAAACTCATAAAAAGAATTTGGGTGTTTTCCTTTTCCTGTGCTCTGGAAAAATGATATAGTGTTAGAATTATTTTTTCTTTAAAGGTTTGGTAGAATTCTCTTGTGAAACCATCTGGATCTGGGTCTTTCTTGGTGGGAATGGTAGCTCTTTGTTAACTTTATTTGTTCTAGGTATGTTGTTTTGCTTAGGAAAATTTCTTTCTATCGTTTGTGGTCAGTTTTATTGAACTATATTTCCTTAGAAAATGATCCATCTTATCTGTGTTTTCAAACTGATTTGCATAGAGTTGGCCCAAGTAGTTTGTTATTTTTTTAATTTTGTCTGTGTTGTATATTCCTTCAGTTGACTAATTTTGTGTATTTGGGCTTTTCTCTGTTTTTTTTTTTTTCCCCCACTAGGTGGTTGTGGTTTTTCTATTTTTATTCTTTTAAAAGAATCATCTTTTCTATTTAATTTTGAGTTCTACTATTTTGGTGTTTCAAACTTATTAGTTTTTGCTTTTTTCTTTAGTGAGAAGTCCTTTCTTCTGCTTTTCTGTGCTTTATTTTATTGTTACTTTTCTAACTTTGAGTCAGATGCTTATTTATTTTTTATTCTTTCTTTACTCTGTAGGTAAGGTGTCATTTCTCTCTTAGTGCTCTCAAGATTTTTGTCTTTGTCTTTAGTTTTGAGAAGTTTGGTTAGGATGTGTCTTGGCATAATTTCTTTGGGTTTATCCTTTTTGAAGTTCACTCAGCTTGAATATGCAGGTTGATTTCTTTTGCCAAGTTTGGAACATTCTCAGCCATTATTTCCCCACAACTTTTTTGGCCCCACCCCCCTTCTTGCCTTCTGGGACTCGGGTGACGTGAATGTTGTATCTTTTATCATAGTTCCACAAATCTCTGGCACTCTGTTTTTTCAGTCTCTTCTTTCTTGCTTAGGTGGGTACTTTATTGCTCTATCTTCAAGTTCACAGATTTTTTTCCCCTTTGTCCTCTCCATTTTGCTGTTGAGTTCAATGAGTTTTTAATTGATTTTGGTTATTGTATTTTTCAGTTCTAAGTTTCCATTTGGTTCTTCTTTACATGTTCTGTTTCTTTTCTGAGACTTTCTTTTTTTCATGTGTTTTAAGCCTGTTAGTAATTGCTTTTTGAAGCATTTTTATGATAGTTGCTTTAAAATCCTTGTTAGATAATTCCAACATCTGTGTCATCTTGGTGTTGGTGGTCGTTGATTGTCTTTTCAAGTTGAAATTTAGGTTTTCCTAATTCTTGGTGTGATGAGTTACTTTTGATTAAATCTTAGACATTTTAGGTATTATATTATGAGACTCTGGATCTTATTTAAACCTTCTCTTTTAGCAGGCTTCCTATGACACCATGTGGTGATAAAGGGAAGTGCCACCTACTGCCAAGTGAAGGGTCAAAGTTTAAGTTCCCCACCCAGCCTCTGTTGACACCCTGGACACAGGGATGTCTCCTAACTCATGGGTGGGTTGGGAGTTCAGGCTGACACCACCGTGGCTGGGACAGCGAGTGACGCCTTGTTACTTTTATGGCTTCCAGGGACACCAGGGTGAAGGGGATAATGAAGGGGGAGGTTGTTACCATTGAAGAGTGGTGAAAATCCTGGCTCTCTACTAGACCTCTTCTCTCACCACCTTGGTGGAGAAGGAGAGGGGCTCCTTGTTGTTAGTGAGTGAGAATGGAGTCCAGAGTCTCCCTGTGCTCTCCCTGACATTGCTGGGTCAGTGCAGAGCTGCCCCAACTCTCCCTTTGGCCTTCGCTCACAGTGTCCCTGGTTTGGAAGAGAATTGCCTTATTATAGCTTGGTGAGTGTGGAAGTTCAGGCTCTCTATTTGGCTTTGCACCTTTGTCAAAAATTAGTTGACCAAATGTGTGTGGGTCTATATCTGGACTCTCTTCTATTTTATCAATCTATTTGTCTGTCTTTCTGCTACTACTGTACTATTTCAATTACCATAGCCCTCCAACTTTGTTCTTCCTTTTCAGAGTTGTTTTAGTTATTCTAGGTCCTTTGCATTTCCCTATGAATTTTGAAATCAGCCTGTCAATTTGGCCATACCCCTGTTTCTGTTACAGGTTAACACTGTAGTAGGAAAACATGGTTGCACGTTGCCCAGTTTTATGGTATTTATTTTCAAAGAGTGTCAGGTAATTTACAAAATATAGATAAGCAAAAATTTAAAAGATATATGAAAATCACCCAGACTTTGACTTTTAAAAGGTCATTTAAAAATAAGTGTTATGAAGTCCAATAATGTATTATGTAATACGTATGTAGACATGAGTGTATTGCACATATATGTAGAGATACTGTATATGTGCGGGTGTGCACGTGTGTATTCATTCCTATTAGTAGTGATTGTTAGAAGTGGTATAATTAGTAGTAATTATCTTTAGATGGCAGATTAAGGATGAACTGTGTTTAACCTTATCATCACATTATTCTCATTCAACTATTGAAGGCTAATGAAAGAATCGTTCTGTTACTGTTGGTATCCTTGGTACTTTAATAACAAACATGATATAAGGAGATGAGAATTTTGTTCCTTTTCATCTTCTTTGTTCTTTTCAAAAATAGTTCCATCAGAGTTCCTTTCTGCTGCCAGCTAGCAAGAAGAAACGGGTTAGTAAACAGTGCAAGTTGATGCATCTTCCATTTGCAAGGTAATTGCTTCAAAACTCAGTTAAATACTGACTTGCACACTTCTGCCTGAACTAGACTTTAAATGGTTTTTTTCAGTCTGCTTCCTTTAAACATAGAAAAACATTTACAAATAAATAATGAAATAAATTGTTAATATTGTACCGGTAAAAGAAATTGAACACATCCTCTAATAGAATTCAGTTTTATACTTTGAAATATTCTTCTGCTTTCCCATACACTCTAGAGAAGAAGGAGGCTCAGGTGGACCTTTAGCAACACGAGTTGGAATCACACTGCTTCAGAGCACTTAGATTTTTGTATAACACAATCAGTGTTTGTGTGTGTCATGCAATATTTGGGTTTCATCAGCCTGTAGTTCCCTACTGAGGAGGAATGAGATGGTCTGTGGTATTTGCCACAGCTCGTACCTCCAGGGCTCCAAGGACACTTCCCATCACTTCAACAGTCAAGTTCATCTGTAGGAGATGTAGTAGAACTCTTCAGTTCTTTTTTTCCTTTCTCCCGGGTCACATTGTTTTCTACTAGCCTCATTGTTTTCTACTAGGTAAATCTGATAACTATTTCTACCTTTATTATCTTTCATACTACCCCAGACTTTAAATGATCTTTCATCATTGCTGTTCTCCTGACCCAAATTTCTCATATCTTGATTAATTTGATTATAAGTCATAGTAAACACCCTATTTCAAACTTATCATTTTAAAGACAGTCATTGAAGCCCAGAGAGGTAAAATGACTTAATTAATGATATTGACCAAAATTCTCTTGTCTCTTTGACAGTGTTCTTTCAGTTATGTGACTTATGTCTTATATCTTAAATTTACTTTGTCACTTTGTATTCGTTCTAGTTTGTTCCATTGTTTTGTCTGTTATGCTATCCAGAGACCACATTGCACTGGTACATTTTAGCTGCTATAGTTTTAAAATAGTACATTTTGTTGTCTTGTAGATCTGTTACTTAGTTCTTTTTCAAGAATATCTTGGCTGTCATTATGCACACGTTGTTTCATGTCAGTGTTATACAAATCAAATGTCAACTTGCCTTCCAAAAAATTTCATTGTATTTTTTAAGTAAACGTTTGTTTGAAGTATAATATACATGTTAGAAAAGTGCAAAAGTCTTGAGAGCATGGTGAATTTTCACAAAGTGAACACTGTTGCATAACCAACGCCCAGATCAAGAAATAATATGACCAGTACCTCAGATACCCCCTTGTGCCTTTCTCTAGTCACTACTCACCACCCACCCAAGGATAAATATTATCCTGACTTCTAGATTAACCTAATAGATTAATTAGTTTTGTATAGTTTTGAACTTCATGTAATTAAATCATTTAGTATGTATAATTTTTGTCCCGGGCTTCTTTTGCTCAGCATTGTTTGTGAGATTCCTTCCTATTGTCATATGGTTATAGATCAGTCATTCTCATGGCTGCATAATATTCCATTGTATGATTATACATAATTTATTCATCCTTCTGATGGCAAACATTTAGGTTTTTTTTCTAGTTTTGGTCTATTACAAATAGTGCTGCCATGTGTATGTCTTTTGATTAATGTATGTACACATTTCTGTTGAGTATATACCTAGGAGTAGAATTACTGGATTTACATATATTTGGCTTTAGGAGAAACTGCCAAACAGTTTTCTAAAGGGGATATACCAGTTTACATTTCCAGCAGCAGTATATGAGAATTCTTGTTGTTCTGTGTCCTCAACAACACTTAGTATTGTCTGTCCTTTTCATTGGCCATGTTGGGGTGTGTGTAGTGGTACTACATCGAGGTTTTAATTTCCCTGATAACTAATGAAATTAAGCATCTGTTTGTATGTTTATTTTCTTTCTATTGGATTGTCTACCATTTTTTACGGATTTCCGGGGGTTCTTTATATACATTGCGTCTAAGTTCTTTGTGTATTACAAATCTCTTTTACTCTGTGGCTTGCCTGTTTACTCTGTAAATGGTGTTTTTAGGTAAACTGAAGTTCTTTATAAAATCCAATTTATATGTCTATATAATATATCTATGTCTATATATCTATATACCCCCCACCTGTTATTGTTACTACTTTCTGTGTCCTTTTAAGAAAATCTTAACTAATTGCAAGGTCATGAGATGTTCGCCTGTGTTTTCTTTTAAAAGCTGTATTATTTTCCCTTTCACATTCCCTTTCACATTTCACATTCTTCATTCTATCTGGAATTTTAGGTGTGATGTGAGGAAAGGGTCCTTATTTTTCATGTGGAGATCCTGTTGACCTTGCACCATTTATTGAAAAGACCATCCTTTCCCTACCTCATTGCAGTGTCATCTGTATCATAAATCAAGTGACGGAATGTATATGTGTCTGTTTCTGAACTCACTATTCTCTTATATGAGTCTTTTTGTCAACTACCAGACTATCTTAATTACTAGTTTTGTAATAAGTAGTATTTGATAATAAATCTCCATTTTATTTATTTATGTTTTTGTTCTTGAATATTATCTTGGCTATTATTTTCCCTTTGCATATCCACGTGAATTTTAGAATCAACACATGCACACATGCACTCTCTCACACTTCTGGGGTTTTGATTGGGGTTACATGGAATATACTTCAGTTTGGGGAAAATTGCCACTTTGTAAAATTGAGAGTTCCATCCATGAACATGGTATATTACTCGTTTATTTAGATATTATGTGTGTTCTCTCACTGTTTTGTAGTTTTTTGAATAGGGTTATTACACATCTTAGATTTATTCCTACTTATATGGTATTTTTAGTGCTATTTTGAATGTTGTTTTTTAAACCTCATTTTCTTCTTGATGCTAGTGTGTAGAAATACAATTAAGTTTTTAATATTGATCTTGTTTCCTGTGACCTTACTATAAATTTTAAGTTTATCTGAGGTGAGATTTTTTTCATTTTTCTATGAATATAATTTTATTATTCGTGAATGACTGTTTTCTCCCCCGCCTCCCTGCAGTTTATGGGACTTTTATTTTTTCTCACCTTATTGCAGCGGCTGCTTCTTGCTCAATAATGAGTAAATAATGAATAAAAGAATAGTGGACATTCTTATTGTGTTCCCATTATTTGATTTGTTTGCTCTTGGGTTTTTGTAGATGCTCCTTATCTGATTAATGGCTGTTGAGTTTTATCAGATGCTTTTTCTGTCACCATTGAGAAGATAATACTTTGTTCTTTCTTTTTTTATTAATATAATGAATTATAAAGATTGATTTTTGAATGTTAAACCACCGCTGCATTCCTGCAGTGAACTGCTCCTGATAATCCATCCTTTTGATATATCACTAAATTCTTTTTGCTAATTTTTTAAAGGATTTTTGCATGTATTTTTAAAATGAGGATAGTTTATAATTTTCCTTTCTTGTAATATGTTTTATCAAGTTTTGGTATTTGCATTATACTGGTCACAGTAGATGAATTGGTAAGTGCAGTTCTTTTTCCATTTTTTGGAAGTGTTTGTGTAAAATTGTTTTTTTCTTTAAATGCTTGGGAGAAGTTTATCTGGGCCTGTGGTTTTCTTGTGGAAATGTTTTTGATAACATCCCATGTTAATGGATGTAAAAGTATTCAGATTTTCTATTTCTTCTTGTGTCTAGTTTGTTGACTTTTGAAAAGAATTTGTGCATGTCATCTATAGTACCAAATTATTAGCTATAGTTGTTCATAGTATGTCTAATTATGTGTTTAATGTCTGCAGGATATATAGTGATGTTCTCCTTTTCTTTCTCAATATTCTTTCTATTTCTTTCTCAATACTTCTTGATTAATTTTGCTCTAAAAGTTTATCAGTTTTGTTCATCTTTGCAAAGATAGTCCTCTTTAGGGCTATGTTGATCTTTCTTTTTAGTATTTTTGTTTTCTATTACATTTATTCTTGTTATTTCTTTTCTTCCTGTTTTGCTTTTCCTTTTCAATTTAAAATTTTTTATTATTATTACCATTATTTGCTTCTTCAGATTGTGTAGATTACTGAGTTTCAGTCTTTCTTTTAAAAAATACAACTATTTTCCTGTAAGTACTGCTTCAGCTTCATCTCCCAATTTTTGATAGTCTGTTCTGATATATTTTTTGGCCTATAGATCATTTACAAGTATATTATTAAATTTCCAAACAGCCGGTTATTTTTTTCTAGTTACTTTTTGTTGTTGGTTTCTAGTTTAAGTCCATTGTAGTTACAGAACATTGTTAAAATGATTTTAGGTTTTTGAAATTTATTGAGACCTACTTGGTCTCATCTTGGTCTAATTTGGTAAGTATTTCGGGTTCACATGAAAAGAAAGTGTACTTTGTGGTTGTTGGATGCAGTATTCTGTATGTGTCAGTTGTGTCAAGTTTGTTGATTGTATTGTTCAGATCTTCCGTAGCCTTCCTGGTTCTCTTGTCTGTTTATTCTATCAGCTATTGAGAGAAGTGCCTTAGTGTACCACTGTGATTATGGACTCATCTGGTTCTCCTTTTAGTTCTGTCAATTTTTGCTTTATATATTTTAAAGTTATTATTAGATGCATATAAATTTAAGATTGATTTCCTGATGAATTGATTATTTTATCAATGTGAAATATTTCTAGAAATGATTCCTACTTTAAAGTCTACTTATCTGATATACCATTTCTATGGTATGTCTTTTTCTATAACTTTGCTTTCAAACTCTCTGTTATATTTAAAATGCATATAGATTCATCTTTTTTAAAAAAATAAGTTCAGTGTAACATCATAGAATATTTAGTATGTTTATGTTTAATCTAGTTCCTGATATAGTTGGATTTATATCTGCCATCTGGTTATTTTCTATTTGAGCTACCTGTTTTATGTTCTTTTTTCTCTCCTTACTTGATTTCTTTCGAAATCAAATGTTTTTCGTTACAGTAGTCTCCCCCCTTATCTGCAGGGGATCCATTCCAAGACCCCCACTGGATGCCTGAAACTACGGATAGTACCAAACCCTTTTATACTGTATTTTTGGTATATGTACATACCTATGATAAAGTTTAGTTTATAGTTTAGGCACAATAAGAGATTAACAGCAATAACTAATAATAAAATAGAACAAGTATAACAATATACTGTGATAAAAGTTATGTGAATGTGGTGTCTTTCTCTCTCAAAATATCTTATTGTACTGTACTCATCCTTCTTGTGATGACATGAGATGATCTAATGCCTGCGTGATGAAACGAAGTGAGGCAAATGACGTAGGTGTTGTGACATAGCGTTATTTTTGGACCTTGGTTGACTTCCGGTAACTGAAACTGTGGAAAGCGAAACTGAGGATAAGAGGAGACTACTGTATTTAATTTTTCTTAGCTATTAACTTATCTTCTATTCCTTTATGATTGCCCTAGTGTAGCAATATTCATCCTTGATTTATTACACTATTATACAAAGTATTACTTCACCACTTCTTCAGTAATGCTAGCACCTTGGCATACTTCAATTCTGCATTCCTGTGTTCTGCCTTTCTATTATTATGTATTTTCATTCAGCATATGTTTTAGTCCCACAAATTCCTACTTTCATTGTTTTGTGTAGTAGTCAGTTTTCATTTATAATTACCTACATATATAACTTTTCTATTTTTTCATATTACTTCCTTCAATTTTTATTTTATGCTTGTTCATAATCTTATTTTTATTATTATTTCAGCTTTATTGAGGTAAAACTGACAAATAAGCTTCCTGCATTTTGATATTTCCTTCTGAGATAATTTTCTTTCTGCCTGAAGAAATTCTTTATTATTTCTTTTAGTGCAAGTACTGGCAATGCATTCACTCAGTTTTTGTTTTTCTGGAAACATATTTATTTCACCTTCATTTTTGAAGAGTATGTTTATAAAATTGAGGGTTTGGAATTATCTTTGAGTAATTTAAAAGGGTCATTTCATTGTCTTCTAGCTTCTATCTTTTCTTTTGAAAAGTTAGCACCATTTTTGCAAGTTGAAGTTCCTTTTTATTCTGCTTTGCTGAGAGTTTTTCTAATGAATTTGTATTTAATTTTGTGAAATGTTTTTTCCTGTATCTGTGGAGAAAATCATGTCTTTTCTCCTTTGTTCTTTTAATATGATGACTTCACTTGATTTTCTCATGTTAAAGCAAGTTTGCATTCCCAGAATAAATTCCACTCAGTCATGGTGTATTATTCTGTTTACATATTGATAGATTTGATTTGCTAATATTTTCTTAAAGATTTTTATAACTGTGTTCATAAGAGATTGATTTATAATTTTATTATTATTTCTTTGATAGGTTTTGATAAAGGTTATGCTGGCTTTGTAAAATGAGATGAAAAGCATTCCCTCTTCCTCCATTTTCTGAAAGAGTTTATAGAGTTGGTATTTCTTCTTTAAATGTGTGGGAGAATTCACAAGAGAAGTAATTTGGGCCTGGAGTTTTTAATTATTAATTTGATTTCTTAAATAGACATGGGGCTTTTCAGATTTTCTATTTCTTTTCAAGTCAATTTAGAAACTATTTGTCTTTCTAGAAAACCATTCATTTCATCTTGGCAGTCAAGTATATTGGTATAAAGTTGTTTATAACGTGCCCTTATTCTTTTAATGCCTGTGACATCTGTAGTGTGGTCCTTTCTTTCATTCCTGATATTAGTAATTTGTGTTTTCCACCTTTTTGCTCAAACTAGCTAGAGTTTCGTCAGTTTTATTGATCTCTTAAAAAACTCAGCTTTTGGTTTCATTGATTTTTGTTATCAATTTTTCTTCCATTTCATATGTCATTGGTGTTTGCTCCTCACTATTTCCTTTCTTCTACTTACTTTTTAAAAAATTAAGATATAATTCACAGATAAAATTTCTCATAACATGAAATTCGCCCTTTTAAAGTATACAATGCAGTGGTTTTAGTATGTTCACAAAGTTGTACAACCTTTACCACTATCAAATTCCACTAGAATATTGCCATCACTCCAAAAAGAAAGCCTGTATCCGTTAGCAGTCACTTCCCAGTCTCCTCTTCCCTAGCCCCTGGCAACCACTAATCTACTTTCTGTCTCTATGGAATTGCCTATTTTGGACATTTTATATGAGTGGAATCACACAATATGTGACCTTTTGTGTCTAGCTTCTTTGACTTAGCGTAACATTTTCAAGGTTCATTCATGTTAGCATCTATGGTACTTCATTCCTTTTTATGACTGAATAGTATTCTGTTGTACAGATATACTACATTTTGTTTATCCATCATCAGTTAATGAACATTTGTGCTATTTCCACTTTTTGGCTTTTATGAGTCGTGGTGCTACTTACATTCGTGTAAGAGTTTTTGTATGGACATAGTTTTCAGTTCTTTTGGGTATGTACCTACAAGTAGAATTGCCGGGTCATGTGAAAACTCTACATTTAACTTTTGGAGGAACTGCCAAACTGTTTTCCAAAGCTGCTGCACTGTGTTACATTCCCACCAGCAAAATGTAGGGTTCTAGTTTCTCCATATCCTCACCAACACTTATTATCTGTCCTTCTGATTCTAGCCATCCGAGTGGGTATGAAGTTGTGTCTCATGGTTTTGATTTGGATTTCCCTTTAACTAATGATATTAAGCATATTTTTATGTGCTTATTGGCCTTTTATATATATCAGGATCATTCTCTGTTGATTATCTTTTTCTCTCGAGTTTGAGTTGTTGTCTTATGGTTTCATATGTTGGATAATATTGGACTATATCCTGGACATTGTGAATCCTACATTGTAGAAAATCTGGATTCAAGTATGTTCTTTCAACAAATTTGATTATTTGATTTTAGTAGGTGGTTACCTTGTCTGAACTTAAACTTCTTGCTTCTCTGTTGTGAGCAACATATGGAATCTCGTTTCAGTTCTTTTGTCCTTAGCCGGGCTGCATGGAATCTTCTTCACGTATATATGATTCGGGAGTCAGCCAGAGATTTGGGAAGAGTTTATACACAAAATTTGGGGCTCCCCGCTCTACCTCTCATTTATTTTCCCTGTCACACACAGTTTACAGCTGTTGTAGTTGTCCTGAATTCTGTGGTTGAACTAGACTGTGGGTTTCTAAGTTTTTAAAAATGTGGCAGTGACTGAGGTTGTAAACAGTGGCAACTCACCCTTTTTCTAAGTGTCAAACTCCCTTCAGTTTCTACTTGTTTTTTGTTCACTTTTTTTAGTGACTTCAGGTAATTGTTTTTTTATATTTTGTCCAGAATTTGTAGACATTATGTTTGATAGGGTTGGATTCAGTAGTAGCTGTTCGACTGTAACCCAGAATCAGAACCTCTGTCCTATTTTTGTTAACTTGTTTCTTCAGGTGGCATAGAAATTTCCTCTGAATGGCTATTCTAGTAATACTTGCCTTTAAATTTTTAACAAATAGTTTGCAAGATTTATTTTGATCATCATCAATAATTTTTAAATATCTATGATTCATTTGGCATACAAGGCAAAATCTTTAGCATTGGGGGATTTTACTCTTCGTTGTTTGAATTCAAGAAGGTTAGATTATCAGATTGTTTCTGTGAGTTTCTGTCCCCCCCCCCCCCCATAGATTTAGCTACTCTAGGAATATGGCTTTAATTTGCATGCATGCCTTTTGGAAACATAGCAAACGTTATTTCACACATAACTTTACATGCAATTGTAGTTATTTGAAACCAAAGTAAGAATTTTGGGTATTCCATAAAATTAATTATAGGAAAACTATAAATATTATGCATGAGTATTTGTAAGTATGTTTGAAATTTATTCATTTCATTAGTATTATTATCCTAATAGCCTAACCAGTAATTATATCAGTGATCTCCTTCTGGGGCCCTTGGAGCTGTGGGGATAAGAAGCATTCCTCTTTATTCCAAGGTTTGTACTATTAGAAACTATCTGTTTTTTACTTGTAAGTTGTCTTCACTGAACACAAAAGGTAACAAGGTGGGTTCATGGTTGGATCTTAAATAAATGGAATATAGAAAGAACTATCCATGTAATTTTCCAAATACTTTTTGTAAAATACAAAATTTCCCATTCTTTCCCACTTTCCTTTAGGGTTCCATTAACTTCAAATGATGATGATGATGATGATGATGATGATGGTAAAGAGAAAATGCAATGTGATGACAATATTAAATCAAAGATGTCACCTGATATTCCCTCTTCAGTATCAACAAGACAACCTTTATCAACTCAGTGTAATTTGGAATTATTATTTCTTAAAGAAAATAATCAGAATGTGTGTGGTTTAAGTGATTCAGAGCATATTTCTTCTATTGATATACTTCCCGAAGGTAAGCTTGTTAGTTCATTTTGAGTATCATTATTAAGTAGTTAGGTTCATCAAATTTTTTTCTTGAGGCATGGTTTATAAACAGTTAATAAGTTAGATCTGTTACGTTATGGATTTACTAACTTTTGCTGTTTAAAATTGCTGGTGAAAAATTTAAAAATAAATATGCTGACAAATGTCAAATGCACCATGGGCTAATACTGTTACTCTGGGAGCAGTATTTAGAAGTAAACCTGCCTAAAGAGCTTCTCTTGGTATCTTAGCTTATGAATTAAAAGGTACCATACCCTGCTTAACAACAGGGATACATTCTTGAGAAATGCATCGTTAGTTGATTTCGTAGTTGTGCAAATATCGTAGAGTGTACTTACACAAACCTAGATGGTATAGCCTACTACACACCTAGGCTCTATTGTACTAATCTTACAGGACCACCGTCATATACATAGTCCGTCATTGACCAAAATGTTTTGTGCAGTGCATGACTGTATATTTATTAAGTTTGGTCTTCTCCTTTTCATAGATAGAAAAATTAGATGCTTAGATAGGTGTAGTGACTTTTTAAAAATCATAACCAATTAGTGGTAAAGCGAAAACCTGAGCCTGGCTAATGGTTTAGTTAGAGAAAATGACACATTTTATTTATGTGGTATTTCAGAATAATAATCCTATGGTGTAGTCTGGCTTTGTATTTGTCATAGATTTTCAGATTGGGATATGGAACCACAACTATATTGAATTTAGAGCTTAGAATTATTTTTCCTTTCTAAAAATTTATGTGAGTGTGTGTGTGTAATTTATATAAACTTTAGCTTCCTTCTCATAGCCTTTCGACAGTAATCCTTATCAGAGTTATTACTGTTATTTGGGTTCCTTTGCTGGCCTCCTCCCATTCTAGAAATATATTTTAGTGGCTCTACTTTTGGCTATTCTCCACTCTACTGTTGGGACCAAAGCAGAGTGAATTCTCAGGAATTATATTCCATAATACAAGTGTAAAATGTGGGTTATGAATACTGTGGTCATTTTGGCTTTATTTTTTATCAGCATAGATTCTTCATAATATAAGTATCTGAACAGAACAGAACACATTGTCAGAACTCTTCTCTGTGAAACAGTTTGATTTCTAATCTCTTTTGTTTAAAATGATAAATTTCATGTCATTTCTTATTTCTGAGTTTTGTTTCCCTTTGTTTTATAGAAAGCCATTCCTGCTCAGACCAAAGTTCCAAGAGTTCTTTAATGAGTGAGATGAAAAACGTCCAGTCCATCGGCCACAGAAAGGAGAAACCATCTCTTGGTAATGTGACTGAAAGGAAAAAACGTGTATCATCTCGGGAATCAAAGAATCCTGCAGACGCTCCCTGTGTGACAGATTTAGAGCAACAGCAGATTTCAAGTCCAGGATTAAATCGGAATAATGAGATAAGTGATTGTACTAATGAAACAAATATTAAAATGCAAAGAAACATCCAGGGCCTTCCTGACACCTCTGAGTCTGCTGGTGAACCTACTGCAGAGCACGTGAGTCAAGTTGAGGGTAATGGTGACTTTCAATTGCAGAAAACTGTGTATGATGCTGACATGGATTTAACTGCAAGTGAAGTAAGCACAATTATTACAGTTTCAACAGGGACTAAAAATAAAAGTAATAAAAAACCAAATGATTGTGGAATGAAAACTTTCAGAAAAGTGAAAGATTCAAGCTCTGACAAAAAGAAAGAAAGATCAAAGAGACAATTTAAAAATAGTTCACATGTGGATATTGAGGAAAAGATTGAAAACAGACCAGAAAGAAGATCTGTTGTTCTGGATGGCAAAGGGGATTCAGAAGATCCAAGTTTTATTTTCAATACTGAACAGCTGGCTCAGTTGAACATCCTGAAGAAAATTCATAATGGCTTCGATCAAGATGACAGACAAAGTACACGGTATAATAAAAAAAAGAACAGAATATGTGTAACAGATGAACCAGAAGAACCGTACTTGTTCTCCCAAAGTTCAGATAAATTCCAACAGGAGAGTAAATTTGATATGGGTCAGAGTTCTCTAGCTTGTAATAAAAGTAAACCTTCTAGACAGACTTTTGTGATTCATATGTTAGAAAAAGGTAACTTGTTCCCAAACCAAAAGGATAAAGAAACCATTTCTGAAAACCTAGAAGCCACAAATGAGTTTCAAACAGTTGATCTTTCCACCAAAGATAATGGGAATTTACATGATTATGAGACCCAAAATATGTTGGATTTGAAAAAGCATGTCACTGATATGCAACCTGCTCAGCAAAATGAATCAAAAATAAATAAGAAGCTTAGGCAGAAAGTAAATCGGAAGACAGAAATAATTTCCGAAATGAACCAGATATATGGCGATACTGCTAAAGACGCACATGGCCCAGAAAAAGGTAACTTTTTCTTCCAAATCCAGAAGGATACAGAAACCATCTCTGGAAACCTAGAAGTTTCTAAAGAGTCTCAAATACCTACTCTTTCCACCATCAGTAATGAAAACCTGTGCAATTGTGAGACCCAGGATGTGTTGGGTTTTCAAAAGCAGATCACCAATGTGTCCATTCTTCAGCAAAATGAATCAAAAGTTAATAAGATTAGGCAGAAAGTAAATCGGAAGACAGAAATAATTTCTGAAGTGAATTATATAGATGATGAGAAAAGTGTGTATTGCCCAGGAAAGGATAACTCTTTTTTCCTAACCCAGAATGATAAAGCAATCATCCCTGAAAACCGAGAAGACCCAAGTGAGTTTACAATACATTCTCTTTCCACCAAAGATAGTGGAAACCTGTATGATTTTGAGACTCAAGATGTTTTGAGGGTGAAAAAGCCTGTCCGTGATATGCAGGCTGCTTGTCAAAATCAATCAGAAATAGATAAGAAGCTTAGGCAAAAGGTATGTCGGAAGACAGAAATAATTTCCAAAATCGACCAAATATATGAGAATAATGACAAAGGCATACATGACCCAGGAAAAGGTAACTTATTTTCTCTGGCCCTAAAGGATAAAGAAATCATCCACAAAAGCCTAGAAGACTCAAATGAGTTTGAAACAGCTGGTCCTTCCACACGAGGTAATAGGGACCTATGTGATTATGAGACTCAAAACATTTTGGGGATGAAAAAGCATGTTACTGATATGCCACCTGCAAAGCAGAATGCATCAAAAATAAATAAGAGGCTCAGGCAGAAAGTAAGTCGGAAGACAGAAATAATTCTGGAAATGAACCAGCTAAATGAATTTAATGACAAAGGTGTGCATGACCCAGAAAAAGATGGCTTCTTTTCCCTAACCCAAAAGGATAAAGAAAACATTTCTGAAAACCTGGAAGTCACAAATGAATTTAAAACAGCTTATCTTTCCACCAAAGATAATGGAAATTTATATGAGTGTGAGACCTGGAATATGTTGGATATGAAAAAGCGTGTCACTGATATGCAATCTGCTCAGCGAAAGGAATCAAAAACAAGTAAGAAGCCTAGGCAGAAAGTAAATCGGAAGACAGAAATAATTTCTGAAATGTTCCAAATATATGAGGATAATCATAAAGACGTGCCTGGCCCAGAAAGCTATACAAAAGATCTTGATCTTAAAATAAGTAAATCCAAACAAAGACTTGAATGCCAAGGTATTATCAGTAGAAACTGTATGGAAATCAACAGTAATGAAAAGGAAAATTGTGATCAAATTTCAAATCCTTGTAAACTTGTTAAAAAGCCTGGGAAAGAATCATCAGGCAGGGCAAAGAACATTTTGGCAAAAAGTGAAAACAAACCTATTTTGCAGTTAACAGATTCTTCACAGACTTGTATCTCCTTAGAATCGGGTTTAAAACATGTTCCTAATGAAGCAGATTCTGATCCTGGAAACCAAATGGAATTACGTAACAACCTAAAGCAAAGCACTACAACTCTGAATAAAAACAGAGATATCCCCTCTGTGGAAGTGATAAAAGAAGGAGAGTGCCAGGTCAGAAAAGTCAGTAAGATGCCATCCAGATCAAAAAGGAAGACCTTCAGAGATCCTTCTCCAGAGAGCTGTGAAGTAACCAACACCATTCAGGGAATATCAGTTGAATCTGAACAAGCCGATAAGGAAAAAAATTTGGAAAATGATAAAATTGTCACAGTTAAGCCAGACTTTTACACAAAGGTGTTGACATCTTTATCTCAAATATATTCACCTAATATACAAGAGTCTTCCTTTAACAGTGTTCATGAAGGTTCAATACCTTTAAGTATTTCTTCTAGTAAAAATCTGATAATAAGAGAAAATTTTGCCCTGGAGAGCTCACCAGTCTTTCAAGTAAGTGAGGATGTGCATGAGAAGATGGAAGGGATGAAATGTAAAGTCAGCCAGAGGACACAAAAATCAGAAATAGGTAGGTCAATACCTGAGGTGATCAAGTTTTAAAAGTGTATATTTTTTTCACTTAACCAGTAAAATATTTCCTTTTATAGCTGATATTTTTATAGAATTTAAAAACAGTATTTAACTGTGTTGCCTGATCTATGGAAGCAATATGAAGCAATTTTAAAAAGGTTTAATACTTTGGGAAGATAACCGTGAGAATGTCTTGGACTTTTATAACCTAAAAAACGGATTTGGCCTTCACCACAAAGTTCTCTGATAATGGCATTAGGCAGATAATTTTTTTCCTCATATGTTTGAAGGAAATTGAGTGTTTTCAATGTGTATAATAATGAATTGCCCTGGTTTGTTTACCAAAGCCACCTGCAAGTTTCCTAAGGGCGAGACTCTCCAACAGCGTATATTTAATGTGATCAAAGCATTGTTCTAGATGTTTTAGAGGATTAAAAAATAACCAATACCAGCTCCCTTTCCTCAGAATACATGTATGTAAAAGTAACAAACAGTGTTGAAATGTGGTAAATGGTGTAATAAAAGCACACACATTATGCTGAAGGCTATAATTGGGAGTCATTTGACTAGAGGAACCTGCAAAGGCATCATGAAGGGAGCATTTAGGCCCTTAGGGACAGGTAGGCTTTTGACCTTCAGTGTTTCTTCTTTGCCCCAGTTATTAAAATAGTATTCACTGAAGAAAATTGGAAGTAGAGAATCAGAAAATAGCAGGAAAAACAGTCATCTGGGGAACTGCAGTCAACATTTTGACATATGCATGCAGACTTGAATCTATGGATTTTAAATAGATACTTGAAATCCTATTATATATAACATTACTCATCCCACTTTTTCCCCTTAACATTGAATCCTAAGGATGTTCCTTTGTTAATAGAAATTTTGTGACATTTGACATTCCCATATCAATTACAGTTTTCTACAGGGAGCCTAGCATTTCCAGTACATGTGTGTGGAACACTAGGACTTTGATGGATCAGGCTGCTCCAGTAGAAGGAATACTGGAGGGAAAGAAGGAGAAAGGTCTAGAGCTGCAGGACATGTTAGAGGATGGGAGCCATCTTTCATCTCTGCTCCTCATGGTGCCTTTCACAGAGTGAGCCACTGATGACCAGTGTTCCATGAATGCACATTAATTTGTGTGATTCTGTGAGGAGAGTTGAATCATGAAGAATTGTTATCAGCCTGTATGTGATTTCAGAATAAAATTGTTGCAGGCCACTTTGATAGTTTATTTCAAATTTTAAGTCTCTTTTCCTCTCTTTATTGCTAGAAAAAAATTAAACATTTACAAATAATTTCACTGTTACTATTGTAATGGTTAAAATTATAACTTAGTTATTGTTAAGTTTAAAAATTTGCTACCAACAATTTGCAAGCCATTAAATATCCCATATCTTTTCCATCTCTCTCTCTCTTTTTACAAATATTTCTGAAAATAATATTCTTTTCAGGAGATAGAACACTACAGGACTTGACAAATACCAATTTTGTTTCAAATAACACTGCTAAATCTGACAGTAAGTCAGAAGGTCTGTCTTCAGAGCTACCAAGCCGAAGAAGAAGGTGTACTCCTCTCGATTTAAAAGAGCCAAGTCTCAAAAGGTATGTATTTCAGTGATATTCAAGTGATTTCACTGTGATATTATATATGTTTTTTAAAAAATTCCTGCCTGAATTAGCATTTGAATACTTCTGATTATCGATAAAACGTATACTGTTGACTTGTAACAACCACAGTATGATCTGGGTAAGAATTGAAGAAAGGTCTTTTATTCTTTGAACAGACTTTTAAAACTAATTTGTTGCCTCTGATTTGCAAACCAGCGTTTCAATATCTGTTACCCACATTTATTTTCTACCTTGTCCTTCAAAGAATTCAAAGTGGTTTATATGTCCTTTGGCCTCAAAGAACAACACTCCTTTTTCTTTCTTTTTTTAAACTTCAGACATACCCCAACAAAGAGAAAATAGTACCTCCCACCCCCATGTATCCATCCCTCAGGTTCAACTGTCATCAATATTTTGACATATTTACTTCATCTATCCTTTTTTGTTGTGGTATTTTTTAAAGCAAATGCCTAATATTGGGTCATTCAATTCCTAAAACATTTCCATATATATCTCTGAAAAATAAGAACTTCTCAACCAAACTGGACAACAATGATCACATCTAACAAAGTTATCAATGTTATCATCTAATAGCTAATTCCTATTCAGATTTCCTTGATTATCTCAAAAATGCCGAAATGCCTTTTACATGTGTTTTATTCAGAATCTCATTTTTTTAAAGAATAAATGAACCTGATCGTATTTGGGACAGTATTTTCAAAAAGATAGAGAAAAATATTGTTAAATGTTCACTTCTTTATGTTGTTTCAGTGTTTGGTTTTTTAATAAAATTAGACATTGGAGGTTCTGGCAGGTATTTTAAAACAATAACCAGCAGATGGCAGCAATACAGGAGTGGGTGCAAGAGAAGCAAATTAAAAGTGAAATAAAGGACCCAAGGGCTTTTTTTTAAAAAAACAGCTTTATTGAACTGTAGTTCACAAACCATACATTTCTCCATTTAAAGTGTACAAATCAGTGGTTTTTGGTATATTCATGAATATGTGCACCATCTCCACAGTCAATTTTAGATTTTCTTCACCTCAAAAACAAACCCCATGCCCTTTACCTATCGTTACCATACCCTCCAGCCCTAGGCAACCATTCATCTACTTCCTGTCTTTATAGATTTCCCTGTTCCAGACATTTCCTATGAATGGAATCATATGATATGTGGTCTTTGGAACTGGCTTCTTTCATTTAACATAATGTCTTCAAGGTTTGTCCATATTGTAGCATGTATCAGTATTTCATTCTTTTTTATGACTGAATGATAGTCTTTTGTATAGATACACCACATTTTGTTTATCTATTTGTGTATTGGTGGACATTTGGTTGTTTCCACCTTTTGGCTATTATGAATAATGCTGCTATACACATTTGTTTGCAAGTCTTTTTGTGTACATATGTTTCTCTTCTCTTGAGTGAATTGCTTGTTGTGAACTCTTGTTGTGAATTGGTGGGTCATTGGTAGCTCTATGTTTAATCAGTTTAGGAACTGGTAGACTGTTTTCCAAAGATGCTACAGCATTTTACATTCCCACCAATGGTGTGCGAGAGTTCTGATTTCTCCATATCCTCGCCAACACACTTATTATTATTTGACTTTTTGATGACTCTAGCCATACCAGTGGGTGTGAAGTGGTGTCTTATTATGGTTTTGATTTGCATTTCCCTGATGACTGATGATGTTGAGCATCTTTTCATGTGCTTACTGGCCATTTGTGTATCTTCTTTGAAGAAATATCTATTCAGATCCTTTGCCCTTTTTTTAGTTGGGTTGTCTTTTTATTATTGAGTTGTAAGTTAAACTTTTTATGTTGGACTAATTTTAGACCTACCAAAAAGTTGTAAAAATAGAATGGAGGTTTCTCATATGCTCCTCACCCAGCTTTCTCTAATTTTAACATCTTACATAGCCATGGTATGATTTTCAAAACTAGAAAATCTTATGCTGCAGTACTGTTAACTAAACTATAGACTTCCACTAATATCTCTTGCTGTTTTAGAATCCTATCCAGGATCTCACTTTGCCTTTAGTTCTTGTTTCTCCTTAGTCTCCTCTAGCCTAGTGACCGTTCTTCATATTTACTAAGTTATGTCATTTAGGTACAGCTCTTTTTTGTCTTAGGTTAGTTCTTTTCTTACCAACCCCCTTCAACGTAGTTATGTTATTCATTTGTAATTCGGTTAGGTACATTTGTTATTGTATTCCATTTTCTTCTCCCACATCTTGGTAGATTTTGATGTTTACTTTTAGGGTATGTGAAACATTTTTCTTGGAAACAAGTCAGAGCTATCCAAAATGGTGTACACAGAGAAACATCAACTACTTTCATCCTGCTACTCCATACACATTACCCCTTGTCTTGTTTTCACCCATCTCCTGCGGGTAACCAATTTCCTTAGTTTCTGGTTATCCTTCCTATATTTCTTTTGCACAAACAAACAGATATATGTATGTCTCCCTTTTTTTACATAAAGGTAGCTGCTCTGTTGAGCTTTGCTTTTTCTCATTTATTTCTTACATAAATCTCTAGTGCTTGAGGTTTTTTTCTGGTGTGTGATGTTAGATACGGATCTAATTTTATCTTTTTTCCAAATGGTACCCAGCTTATTGGGTAGTCTTTTTTTTTTTATAGCTGTCCTAGGACCATTTATTTATTTAAAGATTCATCTTTACCCCAAAGATTTGAGCTGTCAACCGTGTCATATTCTAAATTTCTATATGTATTTTTAGGGAGTCTAATGCAGGGCTTTTTATTCTATTGGAGTCATCACTTGTCTAGTATTGAGGCTTGATAATATGCTTTAATATCTGGTAGGGCTAGTACCCTCTTATAGTTTTTCAGTGTTTTCCTGGCTGTTCTTATATGTTTGTTTTTCCATATGAACTTTAATATTGACTTGTCTAGATCAGGGTTTCTCAGTCTCGGCACTATTGACATTCTGGGCTACATATTTCTTTGTCATGAGAGGCTGTTCTGTGCATTGTAGGATATTTACCAGTATTCCTGGCGTCCACTCACTAGATTTCCGTAGCACCCACCCATTTATAACAATCAAAAATGTCTCTAAATGTTGCAGAATGTCACCTGGGGGCCAAAACTGCTATGAGTTGAAAACTACTGCTCTGGCTTTTTGGTATTTTTATTGGGATTGATTGAATTTATATGTTAATCTAGGGAGAGCTAGCATCTTTGTATTGAGTTGTGCTACGCAAGAACAGGAGATGGCTTTCTATTTCTTTAAGTCTTCCTTTGTATCTTTTGGAAGTGTTTAAAAGTTTTCCTCTTAGGTTTTACACATTTCTTGTTAAATTTATTTGTATGGATTAGTCTTTGTTGTTGTAAATGGACGTGTAAATTGGATGTATAAATCATATCCAGTGTTTATTGTTTGTGGGTGTGAAAGCTGTTGAATTCTGTGTAAGTTTATAACTTGCTACTTAACTAAATTCTTTTCTTCTCTATCTCATTGTTTCCCTGGAGTTTTCCGGGTGTGCTGTGATATCATCAGAAAATAGAGATAATTTTTCTTCTTCTTTACCCGCTCACATCTCTAATTGATTGCTCTTGTGTCATTGCATCACTGACACCTTCAGTGCAGTGTTAAATAGTAGCAGAAATAGTGAGCATTCTTGCCTTGTTCCCAGTATTGCCTCCCCATTAAACAAGATACTGGCTTTAGGATTGAGATATGTATATATAATTTATCATATTAAGAAAGTGTCCCTCAATGCCTATTGAGTGTTTTAATCATGAATGAGTATTGAATTTTGTCAGAGGCTTTTTCAGCATCTATGAGAAAATTATATGCTTTATTCCCTTATATTTATTAACATGGTGTATGATGATAGGTTTTCTAGTATTGAACCAACCTTGCATTCCTCAAATAAATCTCATTTGGTTGTGGTGTATGTTTTTCATAATATGGTGTTGGATTGGTTTGCTGAAATATTTTGTTTAGAACTTTTGTGTCAATATTCTTTTTTTCTTTTGAGGAAGATTAGCCCTGAGCTAACTGCTGCCAATCCTCCTCTTTTCACTGAGGAAGACTGGCCCTGAGCTAAAATTCATGCCCATCTTCCTCTACTTTATATGTGGGATGCCTACCACAGCATGGCGTGCCAAGTGGTGCCATGTCCATATCCAAGATCTGAACTGGCAAACCCTGGGCCGCTGAAGCGGAACATGCACACTTACTGCTGCGCCACTGGGCCAGCCCATGTGTCAATACTCTTAACTGATATGGGTCTATAGTTTTTCCTGCTTTGTCTTTATCTTGCTTAGACATCAGTATTATACTTGCTTCATTAAGAGAATCAAGAAGTTTTCCTTTCTTTACATTGCTGTGAAATAACTTACAGAATGTTGGGACTATCTAGTCTTTGAAGGTTTTGTAGGACTCCCCTCTGAAACCATCTGGACCAGGTGCTTTTTTTGTGGAGTTGTTCCTTACTAACTTTGTCTGTTTCTCTTGTGACAATTGGTTTGTTTAAGTATTCTCACACTAATGGTGTTAGTTTTGGTCGTTTGCATTTCCATAGGAAATCTTCCGTTTTATCAATGTTTTCAAGTTTATTTGCATGTCTCCAAAAGTCTCTCTTATAAATTGGACATGTAAATGAATTTTAAATACATTTTTTCAATGATTATTTCTCCTTTGTCATTTTTTTATATATATATTTGTGCTTTTTCTCTTTTTTTCTTGATCAAGTTAGGTAATAGTTTGTCTATTTTGTTAACATTTTCAAAGAATTAGGACTTTGATTTAATATTAGATCTACTGTTTTCTGTTCTCTACTTCATTAATTCCTGCTTTATATTTATTTCCTCCTTTATTTCTTTTGGTTTCCTTAGTTCTTTTTCTAGTGTTTAGAGTTGAGAATTCAATATATTATTTCTATTCTTTCACTTATACGCGTAAAAACGTTTAGTGGAGTTAATTTTCCTGTTAGCAATGCTTTGGATGCATCCCATAGATTCTGATATGTAATGTGTTTATCATTTTTTAATTTCTCCTTTTACTCAGGAGTTGTTTAATAGGAGATTTTTAAATTTCCAGGTAGATGGGCCTTTCTGATTTTTGGTTTTGTTTGCAAATTCTAGTTTTAATGCATTGTGGTCAGAGATTGTTTTTTGTAGTACTTTTACTTTATGGAAGTTACCAGTGTATTCTTTGTGACCTGATATATGATCAGCTTTTGTAACTGTGCTGTGAGCACTTAAGAAGAATATGTATTCTCTATTATCAGAGTATAGAATTCGATATATACTCATAAGATTTACCCTATTGATTGCGTTGTTTAGATCTTCTATCTCCTACCTATTTTTTGTCTACTTTATCTGTCTTATACTGAGAGTAGTATATTAAAATCTCCTATTGTGTTCCTATCTATTTCCATGGGTCTCCTGTTTTTGCTTCATAAAGGTAGTTGCTCTGATATTTGGTACATAAATATCATAATTACTGTATACTGATTATGGATTCGGGCTTTTACTATTAAAAATGTCTCCCTTTGTAATGTTCAGTGCTTTAGGAGATAAAGACTTTAAAAAAAAATATTTGTATTACCTTCCTGATAACTCTTGTGACTCCTGTCCTCAGTGCCTGTGATGATCACTCCACAGCAGCATGTTCCTGTCACTGGGGGCCTATCAGAAGCTGTGATATACCTGCCACATGCCATTCCCAATCCAAAAAGACAAAAGAAAAAAATGACGCCTAGGTTGGCATCATTCTTAGTATTTATACTGCATGTCCATTGTGATTTTCATTTTTAAAAAATTTACCAACTAAACTGTTTACCAAATAATCTACATGACCAGTAGATCTACAGCATTTTGCTGTATTTAGTTTAGAATAGGTAGCTCTTTTGAAAGAATTAATTAAATTCTATCTGGTTACCCAAGGCAGTGGTATCATGTTGGCTTTAGAGAGGGCTGCAGAGAAGAGAAAGAGACCTACTCATCATCTAACCATTTATACTGTTTTAATTTGGAGCCATATGTATTTATCTTATCCGAAAACCATAAATCATGTAAAGAACAGCTACACCACCACTTCTTGCTACATGATATACTAGGTGCACGGATCAACCCTCTTCCTGAAAAAACAAAATAAAGTTACTGGGTGAAGTATTTTTTAAAAACAAACCTTAAATGCATCTATTAGCTAGTAGAGAAGTAAGAAAGCTCAGATCAGAGACTGAATGAGAGCAGGAAGCCAGCAAGTTAACTTGACCCTGAAACTGGCTGTTTGCCTCAAGGCATTTGCGCAGCTAGGTGAACCTCAGCATGGGAGTCACAGACAGATGGGGCTGGGGACAGAGGGTAGATCCTAGAGTTTAGCTAAAATGAAAAGTCTAATAGTAAATCTCCTTCAATAAAGTTGAGCTCCTCTTTCAGTAGAAGAGCAAACTAAAAATAACCTTCCCACCAGCTTTTTCAGCCCCAGGAGATAACTCTGGTTCTGAATTGAGGAGAAAAAAAAATCTTCTGAGAATTCGTAACCAAAATGAAATCTTCATGCACTGTGCCTGGAACTCACAATTTCTGGAAGTCACAAAAAACGTCAAGCTGAGGATTTAGTATTAGTCCATGGCTTGTAGCGCCCCCTGTTGTCTGTTAGAAGCAAATGCAAATATTTTCTAGAGACTTCGTCTCAGTCCTCAACATATTTTCCACAGAGAGCCAAAGGAAACAAACAGCTAGTTCTCAGTAAAGAAAAACACTACACACACAGAGGACAAGGGACCTGCAGAAGCAACTGATGGCAGAATCAGACACAGAATATAAAATATAAAATGTCAATTAAAAGAGAGGCTTGAAAATGAGTAAAGGTGTTAAGTGAAAAAAGTAAGTTACAGAAAAACACCTACAGAATGCTTCCAGTGTTGCAGAGGTCAGACCTAATTGAGACCAAACCACATCCTTTTTAGGAGTGTAATGCACTGATGGTAAAAACCCTAAAGAAAAAGCAAGGCAGTGATGGACACGCTTCAGGATAGTGTTACTTCTTGGGGGACGAGAGGGTGTGGTCAGAAAGGGGCATGCCGGAGGCTGCTGAGTGTGGCAGTATTTTATTCCTTAACCTGGGTGGCAGGTGCATCAGCTTTTACTTGATTGTTTTTAAATTGTATGTTTTCATATATTCCTACGTGTATGCTAACGTTCATAATAAAAAGGAAATATGTAGGTAACATGTAATGTATAAAATCTATGTCGATAAATTTTTCTTAAACTTTGTTAATAGTTCCCACCATCACAGAGTATTTCAAATATATGGCAAAGCTTGTGGTTTGAGGAAACAGCTTTCTACTGATATGAAGCAGCAATTTTCTTCTCCATGCTTCACAGCAAAAGCAGTAGTTTTGTGTTATTATTATTGTTAATCTTCCCTTTTTTTCTACTTTGCAGGAAGATGAGAAGATAAGGTGAATTTATGGATTCTGGTTTTTCTGAATTCTCAAACCATAACCTCTCAAAACAGATATATAACTAGGATCAAGAAAAGGAAACGCGTTTTGAAAAGTTTTAGGGTTTTTTTTCGTCTTCTGCGTTTTCCTGGAGTGTTGATTTATCCATTCTTATGTTTAGATATATGTGCCTAAAGTAGCTGTTTTGTAATATTAAACTTAGGAAGTCATTTTGGTTATCCTGTAACTTATCCACCTGCTCATTTAAGCTTCTTTCAACCTCACAGCCCTTAACTAAACAATAGCTATTAACCTTTTAGCCAAATAAAATGTATTATAAATACTTTCCGCATTGGTTTTCTCGCTGTATGCCAAGCTATCTTGTTTTGTTTTGTTTTTAAACCGTTCAGTATATGGGAACATCTCAGAGGTTTTAAAAGTCGCCCCCTGCCCCAGCCAGTCTTCTCTCACTCTTCATTCCTCTCCTTGCAGAATTACTTGTGTTATATGTAATCTGATGACTTGGCTGAGGGGGTTAAGCTTTCAGGCTCTTTTGAATTTGGTTTTTATGCTTTATTTTAAAGCTCACCTACTATTCCAGTCATGAAAAGTAATAAATCCTATTCATATCTGAGCTCAAGGTACGTAGCTCACTGCATTCAAATGACCAGTCAAATTGTATTCTGACTAAATGGGAAAGCTTTCTTAAACAATATCTGACAAGTAAAAGGATAGGCCCAGAAATCTGCATTTCTAGCAAACATTTCAGAGAATTTGGGGGTAGATTGTCCTAGGAGCAAACTTTGGGAATTGCTGTAGGAGAAGAGAGTCCCACAGAACTTGCTCACAAGACCAGCAGTGTCGGTGGAGTGGAGGCCAGAGGCTTTGTTACAGGCACAGTGTACACAGTGTTGGGGAGCTCGGCACCCTGACAGCCTTTGATCCCTTTCCTGCACCCCTGTTACTTTCAGCCTTTGGACTTCCTGTAGTCATCATTCTCTGGTATTATATTTTTGTTCCTATTGCTTATTTCTATTTTTTTCTCCTTTCTATGAGATTTGTCTTTTCTTTTTTCCCTTCCCATGCAAATTATTTTTCATTTTATATAGTCAAATTTGTCAACCTTTTTTTTTTTTTAGCAGCAGAATTTGGTCACAGTAAGAAACAATTTTCGTATTCCCAGATTATCAAGACATTTACCCATGATTACATTTTGTTTTTACATTTAAATTTCTGATCCATGTGGATTTTGTTCTGTTGTATAGGATGAGGTATGAATGCAATTTTGACCTTTTTCCAAGTGACTCCCCATTAATTTAAAAATTTGTGTTTTCCACTATTGATTTGAAATGACACCTTCTTTTTTCTTTTCTTTTTTGTGAGGAAAATTGGTCCTGAGCTAATATCTGTTGCCAGTCTTCCTCTTTTTGCTTGAGGAAGATGGTCGCTGAGCTAACATCTTTGCCGGTCTTCCTCTGTTTTCTATGTGGGATGCTGCTACAGCATGGCTTGATGAGCAGTGTGTAGGCCCACGCCCAGGATCCAAACCTGCAAACCCTGGGCTGCTGAAGCGGATCTGTGCCACCAGGCTGGCCCGAAATGCCACCTTTTTTTATGTTGTATCTCCATGTGCAGTTAAATTTATTTCTCCTTTTTCTCTTCCCTTCTACTAGTCTGTGTGTCTTTTTTATGCCCCACTACCATACTCTTTATTTTATTTTATTTTTTAAGGATTGGCACCTGGGCTAACAACTGTTGCCAGTCTTTTTTTCTGCTTTATCTCCCCAAACCCTCCCTGTACACAGTTGTGTATCTTAGTTGCAGGTCCTTCTAGTCGTGGGATGTGGGACGCTGCCTCAACGTGGCCTGACGAGCTGTGCCATGTCGGCGCTCAGGATCCGAACCCTGGGCCGCTGCAGCAGAGCACTCGAACTTAACCACTCGGCCACGGAGCCAGCCCCCATACTCTTTAAAATATAGAGACTTTAGGGAAGTTTCAAAGTTTCCCTCATAGAGGTTTACACATTTCTTGATAAATTTATGCCTTGATGTTTTACCTTTTTTTCTTTGTAATATAAATGGAATCTTCTTTTTGATTCTCTCTTCTAATTGATTATTCTTTACATATATGAAGATTATTGATTTCTGTATGTTAATTACTAAACTCTGTTATTGCTTGTAGTATATTCCTGACATATCTCCTGAAAACTAAGCTATCTTTACTTCTTTTTTCCCCAATTCATATGCTGCTCATTGCTTTTTCTTGTCTAATTGCATGGCTGCTACCTTAAGTAAAGTGTTAAATAGTGGTAGGTATCCTTGTCCTGTTCCTGATTTTCATGGGAATGCTTCCAGTTTTACCCATTTAGTAAGATAATGGGTTTGAGCTGGTTATGTATATTTATAATCACATTAAAGTACTATCTATCTATTATTCAGTGCTTTTTAGAAAAATCATGAATGAGTGTTGAATTTTGTCATGTGACTTTTGGCATTGATGGAGGTTGTATTCGTTATTGTATTTATTTTATAAATTGTTAACCATATACTAGAGAACTGGACAAGAACTGAAAAGGCAAAAGGGACCAGTGGAGTATCGTCAAGGAAGTAACTAGGAGAAGCACCCACCACCTCCAGGGCTGAGGGAACAGGACAGGATGTAGTTACTGAAGTTAGGAAGAGTTCCAGGACTCTGGTGAAAGAGTACAACTGGCTGGTGCTGTCTCTCTGAAGCACTATGACAAGACTGATCTGAGTGTGGAAAAGCTGCGAACTGGAGCCACCTGTTGCTACTGAAGTCAGTTGTTCCTGCCAGGATGAACTATTTCTGTGTCGATGCTGGCAGGAACAGGAAGCAAACAGGAAGCAAGAAACTTCTCCTTCCTCTTCCCTCCTTCCAGCTTGCCTCTATCATCTTCTATTGCCAGAGACTAAAAGGGAGCCTGGCAAAGGAGAAGTGTGGTTTGCAAAGGCCTAACCTTAACAAAGTGGAGTAGAGAAGTGTGGATTTGATGCTGAAACACAATGTATCTTAATAATCAGCACAAAAATGACACATGATAGCTTAGTGTGATGAACTGTGTTCATTAATTTGTTGATACTGTAACATTCTTGTTTTCATGGACTAAATCCCAGTTTTTAATGTATGCTAGCTATCGTCTCTCAGCTCCAAGGCCACCTCTCTCTACTTTGCTCTGTGATGCAGGAACACAACAAATCAGATTGTTTCTTTGCTGGCTGACTCTTTTTTAGCTTCTGTCAATAGGAGGTGATAGAAGGGGATGAAAAGTCAGGAAGAGGGAAAAGGAACTTGCTCCTGCCTATTTGCTTGCTTTTCCTGTCAGCATCGCGTCAGCAGTGGTGCTTCCCTCAGGCCAGCAGTTGGCTCCAGTCACCAGTTGGTTAGCACTCCCAGAACCAGTCTCATTATGCCCCCTGGAGGTAGCAGCACTACTTGGGCTGTACGCCTTCATAGGCCTGAGGCCTAGCTCCTCAGGGAGCGTCCATCAGGCTCCTGAAGTGGCAGCTCCATCCTGGCCACATGCCATCCTTTGAGATCTGAGTTCCAACTCCTGGAAGCCCTTTTCCTAGCACTTGAGGTATTAACAGTGGCCGAGCAGTGCCTTCCCCTCAAGGTCTCTTCCAAGTTTCTAGGTTCTAATAATCCCAGCCTTGTCCTTTTCTTACCCAAGCTTGTTGTTATACATAACTGGAGGGAATGCAAAATGATCACAGCTTTATAGAAAAAATTTTGATGATATCCAGCAAAATTTCATATGTGTGTAAAATCATTCAACCCAGCAATCTCACTTTTAGGAAACTATACCAAAAATTCTCTTGAAAAAATACAAAAATCTCACTATGGCATGCGTTGTAATAGCGAAAAAGGAAGAAAAATAAAAAGGAGCAATCTAAATAACCATAAATAGGGGACAGCTAACTTGAAAGCTGCCCGAAATGAATGAAAATAACTACCAAGTTGGTGACAAACACAGAGATACTTGACCTCAGAAAAGGAATTTTGAATTTGTATCTTTATTAGGGTATACTCTAAGAATAAAAAGAATGTAAAAAATCTTAAACTTTTGGGGAGTGACATCGGCATCATGTTGGAGTGAGTTCCCTTTGTCTCTCCCCTCTAATTTACAACTAAATGGACATCCATTAACCAACAGAGGATTTCTACACAGCACAACAGGATGCCTGAGAGATCCATTCAGCTATGCATCTGAAGGTGGGTGGACTGGACCCTTGGGAAGCAGTGGAAGTGGGGGAACACCCCCCACCTCCACCCTACTCCCTGCCGTTGGGAGTGATCCAGGTTGCAGATCCTCATAGCAGTCAGCATGAATGTGAATGGAACTGGGGGCAGACTGGCCCATACATGAATGCTTGCGGAGCCCAGCTGGCCTTGCCTGTAGGAGCTCCCACTGTGCTGCAGTGGCCCCACCCATGTGAATGCAGAGCAGCTGACTGGAACAATTACGAGCAGACAGAGCAGGGACAGAAAACAACCCCTGTACCCCTCCCCCAGTGGTGGCAGGTGGAGTCTGTGACTGGTAACAACAGGAACCACAGCAGAACTGGTGACTCAGCCCTGAATGGCAGCAACTCTGACACAAGCTCCACCAGCAGCAGGAGGTTGTATATAAGTCCCTGGGTCCACAGGCCCCCCACCAGAAACAGTGATATCTCTGAACCCAGAACCCCTGGCATCGGTGCAACCAGCACTCCAACACAACCCAGGAACAGCAGTGCAGGTGGTACACAAGACAGCAGCATCCAAGGCCATGGAGAGCCAGTGGAGGAACATGAGACCCAGGTGACCAAAACCAAAGTAACCAAAGCTGTACCCAAATAAGAAAAGGTGATTACTACCACAAATGCGCTGTAGTTCATCAAACACCATGATGAACTACAGTAACATTACAGAACAGGACAATGACAACTCTCCAGAAACCAAACGTGAAGTGACAGAAGACTATAG